GGTGGAGCTGTGGGGGGTGGACAAAACAAGTCCGCCTGCCCCGCAAAGAACCTCGTTTTCCATGAACGCAGCAAGCACATCCGGGTGAGGTACCACTTCATCCGAGGCTATTTGGAGGATGGGAGCATCAAGGCGAGCTACATCAACACCAAGGACCAGCTTGCGGACCTGTTCACCATACCCCTTGGGATCCTCTTCTTCCTCGGCAAGTGCCTCGTTAGCTGGCAGTCGGTCAAGCAGCAGGTGGTGGCCCCGTCCAGCTATGAGGCTGAGTACATAGCGGCCTCTACCGCTTCGACTCAGGCGCTCTGGCTCGCTCGACTGCTTTGTGATCTCCTCGGCAGAGACACTAAAGCGGTGGAGCTCAGGGTGAACAGCAAGTCCGCTCTGGCCCTGGCAAAGAACCTCATTTTCCATGAACACATCAAGCACATCCGGGTGAGGTACCACTTCATCCGAGGTTGTTTGGAGGATGGAAGCATCAAGGCGAGCTACATCAACACCAAGGACCAACTTGCGGATCTGCTCACCATGCCCCTTGGGAGGATCAAGTTCCTTGAGCTCTGCTCCAGAACTGGGATGGTTCAACTTTCCCACAAGACTTAGGGGGAGAATGATGGGATAAGTCTCATGTGCTGGTCTTTATGGGGCTGTGCTGTTTTTAGGACATCATAGGACAACATCTTAGACTAGAGGACAACATCTAGGACAGCATCTTAGACTAGCATCTAAAGGACAGCATCTTAGCATCTAGGACAGCATCTTAGACTAGCATCTTGGCATATGCTTGGATGGCTAGCAGCCTATAAATATGTATCCCCAACCCTTCGGGTTGGCATGGTATTTGTGTGAGTTTATGTGAGAAATAAACTAGAAAATTGCCCCAACTCCTAGTGTCATCCTCTTTCGATGAGTGTAAGAATTCTGCTACTACCAAGAGTAAGAATTCAGCGACTAACAAAATTACATCTTTTTTGTTCAAAATTAATATTGAAAGAAGTGGGCAATCTCTTCAACTGCCCAACACCTGGGGCATTATAGTTGTTCTTGTCAGCTATCTTTTAGTTCACTTCATGCATTGCCACATAGAATTTTAGGTGATGTGGAGATTGATGATAAAAAGAGGTTGCTGTCTTGCAGAACAGCTGTCTCTGCAATGCCTGTTTAGCACTAAGCAACAGTGCATGCGCAATAGTAGAGAGGTTAGCCATTGGATGCTGCATGCATAAATTAAGGAATTATGTACACATTAAGATCAGTAAGATACAGTTTAATAGGCAACACATTGTTAGGATTGTCTGTTAAATCATCTCTTAGATTACTTGGATGCAGAGAGGGAGAGAGAGAGGTTCCATGGCCAGCTATAAAATTGACTTGAAATTTACTATAATGAACACTAAGATTTACTACAGCTTCCCCAAGTGATTTACTATATGTCATGCATCATGCATGTGCACCATTAGTTAAAGAGTGCTATTATATCCCAAGACAAATGTTCATTAGATATTTGTAGCTAGTTATCCATATATTCCACTGATACACACAAATGAGTACACAAGTTGTAGCTTTTCAGTTATGTTTTGAACTTTTGATACTGCAATATTATATTTGGGTGTTCGATAGCAGGTTCTAAGCCCTGGTAAAGGAGAAGGGTTGTGTTAGCCGCAGCAAGCCAATGTAAAAACTTAGCCACTTTTATGGAGATGAAACCCAAAAGAATCCCGTTGGGGCGTAACCCTCTTAGCGACGCGCCATGTCGGAACCCGGGTATAGTGTTAAATGAGCAAGGGCTGGGTCGTCACCCCCGTGACGCGCCGTGTCACGATCTAGACACGGTGTCAAGTGAGCAAGGATTGGGTCGTCGCATCCTTAGTGGCACGCCACATCGGCGCCCGGGTGTGGTGCAAAATGAGTAAGGGTCTTCACACCTACCTCGGCGGGTGTGAATGGTAAGGAAGCTAGTCGAGCCAACTAGGATCCGTTTAGGTAGCTGAAATGTAGGGTCCCTTACGGGTAAGTTAAGAGAGTTAGTGGACATAGCGGTTAGGAGGCGTATAAATATCTTATGCGTCCAAGAGACTAAATGGAAGGGGCAGAAAGCGAAGGAGGTGGACAATACCGGCTTCAAGCTCTGGTACACAGAGACAACTTCAAATAAAAATAGAGTATGAGTTTTGATTGATAAGAGCCTCAAGGATGATGTGGTAGAGGTGAGAAGGCAAGGGGATAGGATCATCTTAGTGAAACTTGTCATTAGTGATATGGTCTTAAACGTAATTAGTGTGTATGCCCCAAGTAGGCCATGATGAGAGTGCTAAGCGGCTTTTCTGGGAAGACTTAGATCGCTTGGTTAGAGCTGTCCCCAGTAGCGAGAAGCTCTTTATAGGAGGTGATCTTAATGGCTATGTAGGTACATCAAGTCCAGGTTTCGAGGCGGTTCATGGGGGTTTCGGATATGGTAGTATGAACCAGGAGGGAGAGGAAGTCTTAGACTTCGCCATAGCTTTTGATCTGATGATTTCTAACACTTTCTTTCGTAAGAGTCCCATTTAGTGACCTTTAGTAGCGGCCAGTACTATAGTCAAATCGACTTTGTCCTTACAAGAAGGAGGGACAAACGAACATGCGTGGACTGTAAGGTGATACCTGGAGAATGTATGGTCGCTCAACACAAGCTGGTGGTGGCTGACTTCCGCTTTCTGGTGCAAGCTCGTGGGAACAAACAAGCTAAGGTTGCTAGAACAAAGTGGTGGAAATTAGAAAGGGAGGCATCAAAGGTCTTTAAGGAAAAAGTCATTGAAGAGGGCCCTTAGAAGGATGAAGGCGATGCAAACAGCACGTGGGAGAAGATGGCAACATGCGTTCGGAAGGTTGCATCAGAAGTGCTTGGAGTGACCAAAGGGAGCGGATTTGACTCGAAAGACACTTGGTGGTGGAATGAAGATGTACGAAAGACTATTAAGGAAAAGGAGTCCTATAAGCGCTTGTATCATGACAGGTGTGCATACAACATAGAGAAGTATAAGGTGGCAAAGAAGACTGCAAAACGAGCGGTGAGTGAGACAAAGGGGCGGGCCTATGAGGATCTTTACCAACGTTTGAGTACGAAGGAAGGAGAGAAGGACATTTATAGGATGGCTAGGGCGATAGGAAGACAAGGGACTTCAACCAAGTCAAGTGCATAAAGGATGAGATGGAGCAGCTCTTGGTGAAGGAGGATGAGATCAGATACAGATGACAAGAGTATTTTGATAAATTATTCAATGGTGAGAACGAGAACACCATCGTTTAGCTAGACGACTCGTTTGATGACACTAACAGGCGCTTTGTGCGAAGGATTCAAGAATCGAAGGTCAGAAGCCTTGAAAAGGATGAAAGGGGGCAAAGCGATGGGCCCTGATGGTATCCCAATCAAGGTGTGGAGATGTCTCGGGGATATAGCTATAGTATGGCTAACCAAGATGTTCAACAATATCTTTCGATCGAACAAGATGCCTAAGGAGTGGAGACGAAGCATATTGGTATCAATCTACAAGAACAAGGGAGATATCCAAAGTTGTACTGATTATCGAGGAATTAAGTTGATGAGCTACATTATGAAGTTATAGGAGAGAGTCATCGAGCAGCACCTACGAGGAACGACGCAAATATCAACAAACCAATTTGGTTTCATGCCCAGAAGGTCAACCACAGAAACAATCTTCTTAATAAGACAAGTTATGGAATGGTTTAGAGAGCATAAGAAGGACCTCCACATGGTTTTCATTGACTTGGAGAAGGCTTATGACACGATACCAAGAAATGTTAAGTGGTGGGCTTTGGACAAACATAAAGTCTCATCAAAGACTTGTACAACAATGTTGTGACTAATGTTCGAACAAACGATGGTAACACAGATTACTTCCTGATTAAAATTGGATTCCATCAAGGGTCAGCCTTAAGCCCGTATCTTTTTGCCTTGGTAATGGATGAGGTTATCAGGAACATACAAGGGGATATCCCTTGGTGTATGTTGTTCACTGATGATGTAGTGTTAGTAGACGAAAGCGAGGCGGGAGTAAATAGGAAACTAGAGTTATGGCGGTAGACCCTTGAGTCTAAAGATTTTAGATTGAGCACAACTAAAACCGAATACATGAGATGCGACTTTGGCGGAGCTGCACAGGAGGAGGGAGATGTAAGTTTGGAAGGTCAAGTAGTGCCTAAGAAGGATACCTTTCGGTATCTGGGATCGATGCTACAGGAGGATGGAGATATTGATGCGGACGTTAGCCATAGAATTAAAGCAGGGTGGATCAAGTGACGACAAGCTTCTGACATTCTCTATGACAAGAGGGTACCACAAAAGCTAAAAGGCAAGTTTTTTAGAACAGCGATTAGACCGACTATGTTGTATGGAGCAGAATGTTGGCCTACAAAGATTCGACATGTTCAACAACTGAGTGTTGTTGAAATACGTATGTTGCGATGGATTTGTGGTCACAAAAGAATGGACCGAGTTCGGAACGATGATATACGTGATCACCTAGAGGTAGCACCAATTGAAGAAAAGTTTGTCCAACATTGGTTGAGGTGGTTTGGCCATGTCCAAAGGAGACCTCCAAAGGCACCAGTGCATTGTGGAGTCCTAAGCCAAGCTAATAATATGATGAGAGGTAGAGGAAAACCGAAATTGACATGGGGAGAGGCAATAAAAAGAGATTTGAAAGCTTGGAATATATCTAAAGATCTATGTTTGAGTAGGAGTGCTTGGAAATCAGCTATTGAAGTGCCTGAACTGTGATTTGGAGCTCTTGGTGGGTTTCAACTCTAGCCTACCCCAACTTGCTTAGGCCTGAAAGGCTATGTTGTTGTTGTTGTTGTTGTTGTTGTTGTTGTGTTAGATACTTTATAATTCTTCAAAATATCCTCTCCTTTCTGCAGTAAATAATGATGCCCCTTTTTGACTTATGCTTGGAACTTGGAAGCTGGATTTTGTCTGATGTGACCATCTGTTGCAGGGACACATTGAGTATCGAAGTGGATGATCTTAGGGATCAGCATAGAATTATAAATGAAGATCTGTCAAGTGCTCAGGTGAGATGGCACACTGCTCGGGAAGTGAAGGTGAAAGCTTCAAACATATTGGAAAGATTCCAAAAATCTGAAGATGAATTGGTGCTTCTAGCTGAGGAAAAAGAACAGCTGATCGTAGAAAAGAAGGTAGGTACTCACTGTTTCCTTTTATATGCAATATCAGTCAGTTGACTACCGTTTTCTTTGCTCAAGTTTATCTCCTTAGTTCTTACTGTTGCAACATGGGCAAAACTTAGACAGGGTTGCCCTTGATCGCTGTAATTGGTTTCTTTCTTGAATAAAGCCATATCTGTGTGCTCTTCTTATAAATTCAACCCTAACAACTTGAGCTAATAAATCAAAATAACCTTACCTCTGGCAAGTCTAAAACTAATCTGAAGCTAAGTTGATATATTAATAAAATCTTAAGGATTGTGGCTTATCTCTAAGGCACCCACTGGGGCACTGCTGCATGCCGCTGTAATTAGCAGCAAAGGACCAAAGGTACAATATCACTTGCTAGAGTAACTCATGATGAGTTTATCAGTATGATATCATATGGATAGTTTTTCTAGGGCTAGGAGCACATGAATATGTGTAGGTATGAAAGCGGTCGGAAACGGTCGATAACAATATCTTCTATATGGTAATGGTAACAATTTGCAATCGGTCAGAAACTCACCAGTCACCGTACTGTCAATTTAACTATTTAGTGCTGAAAGTTAGAAAATAAAAAATTAAATACGGTAATGGTCGAAACAGTCATAAAAGATATCTCTTGTACCGCTGCACGGAAACCATTTCCATTTTCATCCCTAAATATGCTTGTCCAATTTTTTCCTTATGCATCTTGTCCATATACCCCATGGCAGCGGGATGTGGTGGTCAAGTAACTTTTCCCCTGAATGCTATCTGTTGAGGTCAATTTTTGCCACAACATGTCCATCACTTTTGTGCAGCCAGTTTTGAATTTGATCCTAAAATGCACGTTCTTATTGATCTCATTGTTTCTGTTGTACACCTCTGTTTTGTTATTTTTGCATCAATATCGTTCTACTTATGCTTATGCATGGTGTTATATTGAATGCCGACTATTTTATTTCTCAATAACTTAGCTTTTAGAAGAGTCTCTTGATCCATTGTCCAAAGAGAGAGAGAGCTTGTTGCAAGAGTATAATGCTTTGAAGCAAAGGTTCGATGAAGAGTATCATCAGCTGGCAGAAAGAAAAAGGGACTTCCAGCAAGAACTTGATGCACTTGGAAGACTCAATATGAAGATCAAAGGGTATAGTATCCTTTTCCATTTCTCAGATTTTCATTTATCCAACTTTTACTGCTTATTGGTAACCTGAAAGTATCCTCTCAGGTACTTGGATTCCAAGAAAATCAAAAGGCTTAAGGAATTGCAGGGAAAGCATGCTCTTTGCTATTCTCAGTTGCAGAACTGCAAGGCAAAACACAAAGACATATTAGCTGAGTTAAATAAGAGCAAAGAACTACTGCAGGGCCAGGGCCAGTTGAAAAGAAACATTGATGACAATCTCAACTACAGGAAAACAAAGGCTGAAGTGGAACGACTTACTCGTGATATAGAATCACTTGAAGAGAGGGTGCTTTCAATAGGTAGCTCGTCTGCTATAGAAGCTGATCTGAAGCGTCATTCTCAAGAAAAAGAGAGGCTTAATTCAGAGGTATTGTTTATTCAAAGTAGCAATTAAGAAAAATTGCCTCTATTATGATAACATAACCTTATATACTTTCATTCAGATAAAGCATGGTATTTGGTATGTGGAGTGAAAATGTTTAAATCGGAATAAAATTTTACTTGTATAAAGTGGAAATCATGAAATTGATCTGTGTGGATATGCTTGTAGTTTAACAGGTGTCAAGGAACACTTTCTGTTTATCAAATTAATATTTGAAAGCACAAACAAGAGCTTAAACAGACACAGTACAAGGATATTGAGAAGCGATATACTAATCAACTTCTCCAACTTAAGGTAGATGACATGGTATTGCAGATTCAGTTCCTGTGACTCCAATATTTTTCTGTTCATCTAATCTGAGGTGGTTGCAGACAACTGAAATGGCAAACAAGGACTTGGACAGATATTATACTGCTTTAGACAAGTAAGTACCGTGGAGCGTCATTACTTCCTGTTTTGTTCTCGAAAAATTTTCATTGATTTTCTTAACATTATTTACTTTACTTTTGAAACTTGTAATTTTAGCCCTTGCGATGACGATTAGCATGATTTCCTTCAAAGTAGTGAAAATATATGCAAACTGAAACACCTAAGTACATAGGAACACATGAAAGACGAGCAGTACTGTCGTGGCCCAATGCGCTAGACTTGATATGAGTAAAACAGAATATAGATGTGGCATTATGATTTGACATGGTACTTGCAAATTTGGCTTTTTGAGCTACCATAGGGTTTTAAGTTTCTGTTTGATTATGCAAATGGTCGACAAAACCCCATCCCAGCTTTGATAAGGTTTCTAAACCTCCCGAAAGCAACCTGGATTTTATCAAGTTCCCCGTAACCTTGACCACGGTGGCAACCCTACATGGGTTAGGGTTGCCCACAGGGGCATTGATAATGATAATATGTTACTTGTTCCTGAAACCCATTATATTTTCCCTTGAATATACATAGGAGATGTATATTTTCATTAAGAAGAGGTCAACACACCCATACACAACAAACTAGAAAAAGAATGATAATCACGCCAACACCTACACACATCCGACTTGAGACGGAACGATAAGCACACCACTATCAAAATCATGGAAACACCCATGATCAGGCTATAGAGCTGCCTTGTACCTGCTGTGCATGATAAGGTGGGTCCTCTGAGACTGAACCTCACAGCCATGCTTTTAGTTGGAGAAGCGCGATTGAACATGCACTTGCTATGATGTGCCCAAATTTACAACTAAGATGATCAAGAGTTGAGCCCTTTTCTAAGCTGCTTGCCGACCTGCTTTAGTGCCTGGCAGCACCAAGAGGAGAATTCAGCCTAGGCAGTCAGTGGTGCCAATCCTTAATGTCTATCCTGCTGAAGGATGGCGAACCAACAAAATTTTTTGGACTCTGGAGGAGGAACCCAAGAGATTACCAGGCATTGTCTGGTCTCATCTGCTTGATCACATTGACGGCGACATGCTGGGTGTAGCAGACCATGCTGCAAGCCTATCAGGCTATCAGCTGTCCAGCACCAGTTAATAATAGCCAACCATACAAAGAACTTGCAGCACAAAGGTGCCCAATATTTCCAAATCCTTTTCTGAGGAGCAAAACCTGATTTTCCCACATAGAATGCCTCGTATGCTGATTTGCATATACTCCAGAATTGCATGTACCAATGAGGAGCCCCTGATATCACTAATGCAGCAGCGATTAACGATTATGTTATGATTTCATTTTTTTCTCAAAAAATATTGGTCTAATAACTGTGTAGTACTCATAGTTGATGATATGAACCCGCTAGGGTTTATGGACGATCTTTCGATAAGAGGCGTGAGATCACTCGATTTGGTGGATGGAGATGACGTTCACGGCCCGACTACAGCCTTCCAAGACCGCGCCTTAGCAACCGATACACCACCTCCAAAGGCCGTCACGATCTTGTGGAGCGCGACAACCAGCCACTAGGGCTCCCGTCCTGCAAGCAATCGAAGAACTAGCAAGAACAAGGAAACAAGCACTGAATTTGCAAGATGAAATTGAAAGCCTCAAACTGAATCTTATGATGAGTGGGGTTCCGAAGACAAGGAGACGGGCGGCTGGATCAGCACGCGCGCCTACAAGCAAGTAGCAAAGACTAAACTTGATCTAAACAAAACCCAAGTGTTCCTGGTGGCGGCTAAGGGGTATATGACGTATGGAGGACGACCACAAGAGAGTTTGGGTCGTGCTCCAACCCTAGGACGCGTCCCTACTGGACTCTAAACGATACAAGCCCATTGGGCTAACTTAAGGTGGCGCAGCACCCTGGACAGAATAGACCTCTCGGTGATTTTTGGACTGTTGACGCCGTTTCTGAGCAGGTATGAGTATGAGGTCAGATCCGTATGAAAGTAGACTTTATTAGCTTTCCAACAAGTCCAGAATCACCCCAATCCGACTCCGTATGTAACCGTGGCGACCGTCGCAAGTTGGAGGTGTGCTGCAGTCCGAATCCAGCCTACGCGAGTCCTTTTCCCTTTCGGTCTTCTCCTTGATTCCTAATCAAAACAAGAGTGCACGTGTATCCAAGATCTAAACAGGATGGACAAGAGCTCAAGAAGGAACTCACTTGATGATTAAGTGTTCGAGCACGAGCACGGGTAATAGGACCAGCAGGTGTCGGCGTGGACGGCGTGGATGTATGATCGGTGTTGATGTCCTCATCAGTTGAAGCCAGATGAATCCATTCACGTTTCATTTGTCTAATATCAATTATAATATATTAAGATTAAGGTCCTCTTTGGTGGAGCTTTGCCTGGCTTCAGCTTTGCACTGTTCATACACTGTAGCTCCTGTATCATGAGCGGTGAAGCCCCAGAACAATGGCTTCAACACCTAGTTCATTTTGCTGCAAATGGTGGTTCCACGCTATAGTGACTCATTAGTGGCACTAAGTATCTTAACAGCATCTTTACCAGAGAAGATAAAGCCCTTTTAAGGTATGCCAAAAAGGCCCTAAAATTTACTCCGTATCAAATCTAGGGCTATATTCAGACATGTTTAATAGCTGTTGATGTTAAGTGTATGACGGCCCATCTAATATAGGCCCATATGGCCCATGTGTGTGTGTCTCTCTCTCTATATATATAGTCATCTCCACTCTGGAGTGTTTATCTTCTCAAATCCTAAGGTATGTAACATGGTACCAAAGCTATGGAATAGGGTTAGGGTTAGACTCATTTGATCTACTCCTGTCATGATCCATTTTTTTTCAGTGCGGCTGTCGTCACCCGTCTTGTGGTGTGGTCCGTCGCTACCCGCCTATCGCGTGTCCCCGTGTTTTCCCCCTTGTCCGTGCGTCATCCACGCGGCACCCACCCGCGCGCCTTCTCGTGAGTAGGTCTGCCCCCATCTGTGCCTCCCGTGTAGGTCTAGCCCCGCGCGGGCCATCCAGAATCTGCTCGGTGTCTGCTGTCAGAGCACCTGCTTGTCGTCCGCCTGGCCTGTGTGCGCCGTCTGCTCTGCTTTGGTGGTGTGTGCTCTGTTCTGGGTGTGCTCTGGTTTGCACTATGATTCTGCTAAGGAGATGTGGGGCTATCTGCAGGGGCAATATGTTTAGAACAATGGTGCTCTTTTGCTCACACTGATGCAGGGATTTCATGACCTTCAGCAGAATGAGATGTCCATAGAGGAGTATTACACCGCCTTTGATTGTGTGATGGGACCTTTTCTCTCCATGGTTCCTAAGCGTTAGAAAGGTTCTTTGACCCAGCTGATCAGACACTTGCCGAGGAAGACAACGTCTCACTGGTGCTCTTGTTGGTGTCGATGTCGCCGGCATGGTTGCTGTCGCTGTACCCTATGAAATGCACCACGCCGGGGCACCTTGGGTAGTGCAGCCCATTGTCGGAGGTGCCCGTGATGTAGTGCAGAATCCTCTTGATGGCCTGCTGATGTTCCACCATTGGCCGCTGCATGAACCGACTGACATAGACGACGGCGAATGCAAGGTCCGGCCGGGTGTGGACGAGGTAGCGTAGGCTCCCGATGATCTGCCAGTATTGTATGGCGTCCACCTCCTCAACCATGCTGTCAGCCTTTTCTCTATTGGAGTTTGGGATGGATTGCAACCGGTGAGGCCAACCAAGTCGACGATGCGCCGGGCGTAGGAGGTCTAGCGGAGAGAGATGCCGGAGTCGTCCTAGTGGACCTCGATCCCCAGATAGAAGGAGAGGAGCCCAAGATCACTCATCTAGAAGATGACCTTCATCTCGGCCTTGACTGCCTCCACCTCTTCTTCCTTGGTGCCGGTGATCACCAAGTTGTCGACGAGTAGTGTAGAGCTTCCTCTGCACCGCCGGTAGACCGTGCCCTCATGTGCGCTCTGCTGGAAACCTATCTTCTTCAGTGCGGTGTCCCGCTTGGCGTTCGAGGCCCGTGGGGTGCAGCCGTAGAGTGCTTTGCGTAGGCGGAGAACCTTGTTCTCTTTGCCGATGATGACGAATCCTGGCGGCTGGCGGATGTAAACCTCCTCCTTCAAGTCACCATTGCGGAAGGCGGACTTGACATCCATGTGGTGGACACACCATCCTTCTTGAGCTGCTAGCGCGAGGAGGACGCAGACTGATTCCATTCGCGCGACCGGCGCGAACGCATCGTCGAAGTCGACTCCTTGCTGGACGAACCTGCGCCACCAGACATGCCTTTTGCTTGATCACGGCCCCGGCCTCATCCCTCTTGAGCTTGAAGACCCATTTGAGGGTGATGGTGCTGTGGCCGGTAGAAAGATCAGCCAGCTCCTAGGTCTTGTTCCGCTAGACGACGTCATCTCTTGCTGCATTGCAGCGCGCAAGGTAGCGTCACCCTCTGCTTCAGCGAAGGAGCACGACTCGCTGTCAGCCCCGATGTCGTGCCCCACGAACCTAGGGAATGGCAAATTGCCGAGGATGTTGTCCATGGTGCAGTAGCGTAGGGGTTGGCCATCGCGGTGGGCATCGACGCGGTCTTCGTCATTGGACAATGGCATGGCAAACGACACCGTGTCA